TTCTATGGACTAAACAGACATTGAAAAAAAAAAAAAAAAAATATATAGATAAATTATACGTTATCTTATAACCAATTGACTAACATTAAATAGTAACTTAAAATAGAGCAATATTACATATATTTTAATAACGAAATTCTACTCCATGACTGTCAAGATCATTATGGACCCATGACATAGCCCATGCTTACCTAACATCAGCGCACTGCAGGCTTAGTATTAGTAAACATCGCGTATGGTTTTAAGAGATTTAAATTTAAGTTATGATTAGTCCGGCTTATCTCGGTTCACCATGGCTATGTACGGACAAAGACGAACATACCCTTTTGGAGTATAATAATTCAGAATATAATACGGGTAGAGTAAATGCCTCACTTGGTATATCTTAAATTTACTTAAACTCCAGTATTAAATGCAAACAATGATGCAAACATTGGCTTCACTAGCGACCAGAATTGTTTTACTAAAGCTGTAATGATCCTCAAAAAGAGGAAGGGGGAGAATCTTACTCTAAAGTTTCTGAAGCAGAGCTAGATTTTGATGACAATGTTGATTTCAAAAGATTAATAGGAAGGTTATCATCTACTCCGAATGTATGTCAGCAGAAAAAAGAGAAAGTAGATTAATAAGATAACATTTTAAATGACATCAATACATCAATTGATGAAGATGATATCATAGGGGATGAGGCATGGGCAACATAGGCTAGCATTGCCAGCAAAACGTTTACTTAAGAGTATGATCTGAGTATGATTTTAATTTTAAACCGAGGCACGTTACTGACAGATCAGCTGATTTTACAGGGATTTCAGCGACAGCCTCGGTGAAAGTCAGCATTTCGTAAATTCTGTGGTCGTTACAATGACCGTGTAAACAGGTATAACCATTCATTGGGTCATAGTTTTGGTGACAAACAGTTGATCTGGCGGTCCGGTGTGCAGACTGTTTTCGAAGGCCGTAGGCCGCAGGCAACAGTTTGCACCCCGAGCCGACAGATCAACTGTTGTCTGATACCCCTATCAACAACTGCTATACCCGCATATTAAAAACTTTAAATCATTTTAGTATACAACATTAACTCTTGAATTTCCTTTTCTTAGAATTGTACTATCACAACAAATAAAATACCGTTTGTGGTTTTAAACTCTGCATCATTTATTATGGCAACCTCGTGTGATTAAGCAATTCAATATGGTATGGATAGAGTACAATTATTTTTGCAAACAAAAGAACACAGGTCATTTAATATTCACCCAGAATGCTTAATGCATTTTTCGGAATATTTTAGCGTTTTTGCTGCGTTTACGTTTTAAGATGGCCTTAATTCTTTTCCTATGCGGCTGCTATGCGTACATCGTCAATTTGATTTTACACCAATTAAACGATATAATTGATTACCTGTTTTAGTGCCATTTGATGACAGTGTGTTCTTAAAAATCAATTAAACAGTTCCAGTCAAATAGTTGCCAGGTAGTCAAAATGATGGAATATTTTCCATATAAAATTACATAGGACTATTATATTGGTTTATATAGCAATTGATGATAGTGTACTCATTTATTCCTATTTTTGAAAAAAAGGTTTAATATTCTCAATTATTTTCTCAGTAAATATATTTTAATTTTAATGTAATAAACAAATTCTAAATTACTATGTTAAGTTTTCAGATATTGTATTAATGTGCACTGCAAAATTGTATTTATATTTACAAAATCTATACAAAAAGAAATTATTTTAATCACTGAGTTTTCGTATAAAATACTTACCGGTACATATATTGAGGACTTCATTCCACTCAATACAACAATCTGTTCGACCTCTATGAGATGAATACAGAAAGGAATAACTATTTTCTGCACAAATAGGAATTATTCTGTGTGTGTGTGTGTGTGTGTGTATGTGTGTGTGTGTGAGAGAGAGAGAGAGAGAGAGAGATACCTTATGCTTTGCTGATTACAGACAGCTAAATGAATTATCAATAAAACTGAACAGAAACAACGGTACAAAATAAACTCCATCCTTTATTTACACAAGATAGGTTTAAATCTAACTTCAACATCAATTGAAATGGTTAACATAGTAGAATTAAGTTATAATAATTTAATTGTTTGTGTTCACTTATCAGAACATTCAATAAGATGATTTGACCTAGAGTATATTCCATATTGCAAATCATATAAACATTTCCCTTCTAATGAAGATCTGATTAATCTATATATCCTGAAATACTTTTAGCACTGTCATTATTGTGTGGGAATGTTTGAATAGGAACTACAGGATAAGGAGATCATATTTGGCATTGGCATATTGACACTTATTTAACATTTAAAAAAATGATCATGTGCACATTTTAAGTGTATATTTTCTGTTTTCTATCATAATAAGCAATTTTATCTGAAAAATATCCAAAGTGAAACGAAGAAATCTTACAAAACAATGAGTAGTAAAACACAGTGAAGGAACACAGTATGACCTACTGTGTCTGCATTGATAACAAAAAATCCTAAAACCCTAAACTGAATAATGTATTGATTTCAAAATCGATTTCTACCAAAGAACCATAGGGAAGTTATAGTTCATAAAGATGTTTTTTTTGCAAATACTTCAATTCAATTTTCATATTTGAACATTTTGATACTTAATGTTTGCAGATTCTCTCTCACTTTTAAGACAGAAAATGCAAGAAGTGTGTTAACATTGCCTTATATCTTTCCACTTAGAGAAGAAGTAATACTTTTTCACAACAGAAAAAAGGTATTCTGCCCACAGTCTTCCATCATTCATTTCTCTAATTATTGCTAATGATTGTTTGTTGTTTTAAGAAAAATGCAGTGTTAACATACAAATTCAACTTCAATCAAAACTCAGCATAATGAAGTTTACTCTAAGATCTTCTTTCTGCTAAAACTGCGTTTTACTTTGCCTATGAAAAACTATCAAGATATATTAAGAATTGCGTCAATACTTTACTTTGAAAATTAGATGAATAAAATGAAATAACGTTTCTTGGCCGCTTAAATCTCTGTATATTTTCGGCTTCTTCCTTGGACAGCTAAATTAGGGAGATGAGGATTCAATTTTATTCCATCAACAGTTGAAGCCCTTTTTTAAAGTTGAGAAAAATAAAAAAAAAAAAAATAGGCCAGTGTCAAAATATTTTTTCTGAACAAAAATAAAACCAGAAGTGAGGACATATATACGAGTAGATTCAGTTTTGTTCAAATGAAAAAGGTATAGATAACAAAATATCTACAAATACTAAACATCTGTGAACAGGGCATAAATCACGGGTCTCCAAAATTCCAGACGTGTGATCAGATGCCTAGGAGGAGTAAGCTGTTGTCAGGTCATACCTGCCGAGAGCACTTTGTATTGATCAGGTAGAGTGAATATTTCTTAGTCAAATTTTAAGTATTAAATAAAAATCAAAACAATAGTTACGTATATATCAGTCAAAATACGACTCATTGATTAATTACATTTGTCATTATAACGAGTATAAAATTTACGAAATGCTGACTTTAAACGACGTTGTTGAAATCCCAGTAATATCTACTTATTTGTCAGTAACCAGCCTCGGTTTAAAAATTGATCATACTCAGTGCAAGCTCTTGAGTATCGAAAAAGTTGGAAGACATGAATACCATTTGGAGATGATAGTGGAAGAATAGATATGGAATGTGGAACAAATTCAGGGGGTAAAGATGTCTCAATGGAGTTCAAGGAAATTTATAGGTAATTTACATCTTTTAAAATATTCTGAATAGAGGAGGGTGGATTTGAGTTTATAGAAAACATGGCCCCTCGTAGGAATTATGGGTTCATGGGACTCAAAGGAAGTGCAAATTTTATTCTTTATAGCTAAAGAGCCACCGATTTTCAAATTAATAAGGCAAATTATATATCCTCATGTATAGAGAACTCATTACGGTTTACATAGAAATGAAGGGAATAACATGCTCTACGTATGAACAATTTCTAAAACGAGATAAATTATTGACAGTCAAGTTGATGAAACAAGAATATCAACAGTCTCGTTTACAGTCATCATTTCGTAAGTTCTATGGTCGATACACTGACCTTGGCAGCAAATATAGTCTATCATTAAGTCATATGCTGATCGACTTTTTTCATAATAAATGTTAGGCCATTAATTACACATCAAATTTTTAAATCAAAATTCATTTTTCCGAGATACTTAGCTATAATGTATCTGTAGTCACAAAACAGTAAAACTGTAACCAATCAGTAGGATTCAATTGTCTCTAACAGGATTTTGGGGGAATTTTTTAAAAACATTTTTATTTTGATAGCTATAGACTGACAACCAACTTTTATTTGTATGTGTGAAATATCCGCGAGACTTGCACCTTATTCTTTCCCGTATTTCTCAGTGCGAAAGCTCTCTCTCTCTCTCTCTCTCTCTCTCTCTCTCTCTCTCTCTATATATATATATATATATATATATGAAGAATATATCCTTACTTCCAATATTTTTCGTCGCAGAATAATGTTATCTTGATAAATTGACAAAAAATCGTCTGATTAATGATTTAAAATACATTTGCATTTTTGTATTTTTACAACCTCTGGGTTGATTCAGACAAAGCATAATAGGTATTGTTTGATATATTTTTCCAAAGACTTGTTTTGTATCCTTTACCTTTTTTTCAGAAATGGTTGCATCCCTCTTTTTAAAGTTCTAAATGTAGTTTTTGGAAGGTTTGTTAATCGTTATATTTTCCTTTCTGACTGTAAGCTTTTTTTTTTTTTTTTTTTTTTTTTTTTACATTCATGCAGGTTTATCTTAAATGAAGAAAGAATGGAGGTATACTACCATTAAATTCTTTAAAAGGAAGTCACTCACAGTTTGAACCATTTCATTTATCTAAGAATTGATGAAATCTTTGAAATATGAGAAAAATAAACCACGAAATTTCAATTTTAGACTTGATTGTATTTGGTAAGATTTTATTGATATACATGCTCCACTTAAATATGTTCCAATGATAGGGAAATATTTAAATGACTTTAAAGACTTAATAATAATAATAATATAATGATAATAATAATATCGATTTAAACTATAGAAATAAATACAGAAAAAAAAAAAATTATATCTATCAAGAATCCATAGTTGCTGCATAGTTCTGTATTCTTTAGGTTACAGTGTACAACAAACCAGATGCAGTCTTGTTTTGTAGAAAAATGAAAGATAGATATAAAATATAAACTGGAAGATTGCTATAATACAGAGGACAATGGTGCTGTACAACATTGCGTCTCTTCTTCCTGGATGTTTTGTATTACTGCAAAGTCTACTTGAGTCTGCAAAAAGATATTATATAAAGTTAGAAGAAAACGTAAAGAAAATTTCTTCAGATTAAAGGATATGTTGGATCGAAAATACAGACTTTTAATTACTGTACATTTCTGAACAGCCTATTTCCTTGCACAGATTAAAGAGAAAAATGGATTATCAAAAACAATTATCGAAATTATTCATTTTAACTTGTGTGGATGGCAATGTCCAAATAAATTACCATTCATTATTCAAAGGAGTTGCACTATTTCAAGTGATATTAACTGGACAAATGTGGTATGATTACATCAAATAGTACAAAGATGAGGTTATAAAAATGTAATTGAGATTCAGTTTGATTAAATACGTTAATTAACTTGATGAAATTAAAAAAAAAAAAAATTACAAATAATAACAATTAAACTTGTTACTCATTAAAAGTACACACAATGCATTCAGGATTTTTTTCTCATTCCCTAAATGATATTTGTTGTTAAAAAAAGATTTCCAGTTGTTTGAAACATTGGAATTTATTTGATTACTAGTAATTTACGGGTTTATTTTTAACAAACTTGTATTTGCAGGTATGTATATTTGTTATGGATTTAAGATATTTATGATAAAAGTGGTAAAGTGCCTATAATAATGATTAAACGTGATTACTTTTGTTGATCTCAAAGCCCATATTATGTGCTATACAGACAATTTGATGACTGTTCAAAATACGGTGTTTCTCGATATTTCAAAAATACAAATTATTGTGAATGCAACAATTTCAAAGTGTATTCTTTCTTCATCCTACATATCAGGCAAAATGAAAGAGAGTTCAATCTTTCTAACCATCGCGGAGGTAATTTATTCTTTAATTAATTAGGAAATTATGAAAATACGCACTAATAGAAATAAATTTGAATATTTCTCCCCTAAAATTGATTTAATTGTTAAACCATTTAGAAATGCAAGTAATTACATGCATTTATTTTTTAAATGTTTTTTTCTTTAAAGTAGCAAAAGGAGAAGCAGCAAATTCATGCAAAAAGTAAGTTATCAAGGAAGACAGACAACTTTAAGCAAGTATGTAAAGGAAGGGAAGAGGTACAGGGCATCAGGTAAAAGACAATAATTAATTACCAATGCTCTTATCATACTTATTGCTAAAAGTTATTCACAGAATCAGTTGTTGACAATGCGGAACTTTTAAAACAATACTTATGTTATGTGATTATTCACATAAATGTGAATGTGACTCTCAGAATTATATTTGATTTAAATGTGTTAATCAAAAATGTTATTCCAAAATTTAATTACTTTAGTAATGTATTTGTACCTGAATGATTTAAATGTTCTTGAATCATTAATAGTAATAAATTTGAGCAATAAAGAAAAGCATTTGAAATTAAATTGATTATTTTAGATGTCATTGACCCTCTCACTAAAAAAATAATTGATTTTTTTTTTTATTTTCATTGCCTACTTAGCTTGTATAGGCTGAATTTTGAAATGGGTCTCATATGAGTACTAGAGATTTTGCATTTGTTTTTTTTTTTATTTCTCTGTCACATGGTTTCATTTTTTTTTCATGCTCTATTTTTTTTTTATTTTTTCCACAAACCGTTCCTTATTCATATGCATGTATAATACTCGGTTTGAAACCTTGAAACTACAATACACTATAAAAAATGTGTAATGCAAAATGAAAATGTGTTAAAAATAGTTCGATTAAAATTTGATAAGTATCATTGTTTAGGACAGATACATAATTTGCCAACTTAATTTGATCTTTCATTTCCTCTTGACACATTTCTAAAATATTCTAGAAATATTAATGTTTACCTAAACATCCTTTTACATGATCACAATATCCAGGTCTTCTGCATTTACATTTTAACTGACACTCGATGCCGTAATTTGGATACCGGCAAGGTAATTTGCATCTTTCACCAAAATACCCAGGTGGACATACTAGAGAGAAAGAGGAGGATGCACTTTCACACCCAGACATACTTTCAAATATACCAGATATGATCAATCAAGATTAAGAAATGTACGTTTCTTAAATTTGCAATGTGGATTTAAGAGTAACCTTTATAAAATACGGGGATTGTAAATTCAGGAAGAGACATGTTTGAAATATTTGGAACCTCATCAGGTGAAACCGTTAAAGAACCATCTGAAAAAAAAAAATATTATAAGGAGGAAATAAGTGAAAATAAGTAAATAAAATTTACAACTACACAGTGAAGGATCTTGAATATTATATCATGAAAAACATACCTTCACATCCTGTTTTGGAGCTACAGTTCTCTTTCTCACAGTTACACCGCATCTGACAACCTTTCCCGTAGTTAGGATAGCGGCAAGGTCGCCGACAGTTCTGACCAAAATATCCAGTATTGCATTCTTAAAAAAAAATTATTAGTGACGTATGATTTCTTTTTCTTTGTTTGATTTACAAAGTTTATGTACAGAAGAAATCTTAAAGATCATAACATAAGTGTCGGAATATGCTCTTAATCAATAATAAAATTTGTTAAAAGGGAATTGTCTTCACTGATTTTAATTAACAATAATAAGTCAAACAATTTTTCTTTATGAGATGTTTTAATCCCTGTATCATTTAACAATTCTATTTTTTAAAATTATTTAGAAATATAGAATTTTAACATTTTAGTTTAAACGCCTCAATTTCAAAAATAAATAAATAAATAAATAAATAAATAAATAAATAAAATAAAATAAAAATAAAAATCCAGTTTAGGATTTTAAATTTTAGTTGTAAAATCTAAATCTTCAATTTTCAAAAAAAAAAAAAAAAATACAAGAGAGAGAGAGAGAGAGAGAGAGAGAGAGAGAATAAGGACCAATGTACATGTTTATTCTGCTAAGTTTTCCCTTCTCAGCTAGCAATATTCAGGAGATTCAGGCAAACTTCATTTCACAATTGGACAGTCGTATTTACACCGATTTTTTTTAATCACACAATGGATACTGAACATGATGCGAGATCCCCCGTGCATGGAAAGTTATATTCAGTTTCTATGTATTTCAGACGACTCAAGTCTTCTTCCTTTTACTATATTTGTATCAGGTCTAAAGGTATAAGAAATTCCGGATCCACCCAAGCGCTTATGATTTCGACTTTTGTCGATGTCAATCCGATTGCACAGCTTTACCTTCATAACTAGGCCTGTTGATCCATTTGACCATGGTAGGTTCGCCGTCGTACGCCGAAATCGCCTGTTTGAAATCACTGGCGAATAATTCGCAGCTTTGAAATATGACGGGAAGATCGACAGAATGAGTTGTTGAAACTTTTTAACAAATCGGTATTTTCTTGATCATTTCCATTCATTAAATAAATGTTTGTTCAAACCTTTCAATCCTATTATTTGGTATTGAAAAAAGAAGAAATCTTTATCACGTCCATAGTTTTGTTTTACAATGAATTAGGAATTATGCAATTTTTTCCGCTAAGATGCATTGCAAAAAGTGATAGGTAAACATTAATTGATCATAATTGAAATTAATTAATTTTTTCCGCCGTCTTACTTGATTTGCCGAAATGAGGCTTACGCAGATCTCAAAGAAATGAAATTGACCCCTGGTGACAATATTCCATTGCCACCGCTTTTGGAAAAACATCAATTGCTTGAGTTTACTGACACTATGCCAAACACAATTTTTGATCTTTAAAATTTTTTTGTATATAAAAATCTTAAATAGATAATACCGTCTGTACTCCATTATTTGAGTTCTCATATCTTTTCTAGCTGTTTTAAATTGTGTTTTTTTCCCCTTCTATTTTGTACTCATGTATATGTCTCTCATTTATGTTACTGTATCGTATACGTATTTAATTTTCTTTTCATAATTGAACTACAAAGATTTTTTATATGCTGTATACTTTGTGTACCACTGATTGTTGGTGCTAGAGTAATAATTGAACGTCAACTTAGAGTGCCGGTACGGGTAATTATAAATTTTGGGCCATATATGAAATTTAGATGATGAACTCAGGAAAAAAGGAAGATAGGATATTTTTGTTGTTGAGACACTTGTCATATTACTATAGCTTCGAACGAATTGACCAGCTCTACTTCCACCTTCTTGATCAAAGTCTAGAGAATGTTTCAAAACAAGTTTTTAAGGCAGTTAGAATTTTAGAACTTGAATTGATAGCTGTTACGAAATCAAATCGGGTTTAAAAATATATTTTGAATATTTGGAAAAAAAATTCTAAAACCTCAAAAGGTGTTTTCATTATTTCAAATTTGAGTGTACGAATCAAAGTTCTAAATGTTTAAAATCATTTTTTTTTTAGAGTGGAACGTTAGATATTTGAGGTAAATTTTGAAATGCCTAAAAAGAATATATTCAAAGCAAGATAGAAGAGATACAATAGTATTATTCTAGGTGCCTAAATTAAAAATTATATTGCTTATAAAGGGAATACGGCTCTTACCTGCACATTTGTTCTGTGAAGAATCCCACTCTTTGCACACCTCATCACGGATTGAAAATGGAAGGCTACTAATTGTAAGGAAAACATTTCTTGTATGTATTATTTACGCATTGCAATACATAGAGTGAAAAAGAGAGAGAAAGATCGAGAGAGAGAGAGAGAGAGAAATTAAATACCTTGTTACTCTCTCCTCTGCCAAGCAAATTATAAACACACATGGTGAGCACACCAGAGCAGAAAATAAAACTTTACAACCTCCAGCCATTTACATTTTATTTAACAATATTAATAAATTTATAATTTATGTATTGAGATCTTAATGAACACATTAATAAATCAAATATGATGCGCACTACAAATTATTTAATAAGGGAATGTCATTTATTCCCTGTCAGATGGTATTTCCTGATACATGTTCTTTTTTTGAACTAATAAGTGCACGAGCTTATGATATTTTAATCTTTGCTAGATGTATAAAAAATTGCATATACTATAAAGGCTTCTTCACAAACCCCGTTTGAAAACCAATAACAAGATTTATACATACATGAAACAAAAAAAAAAAAAAAAAAAAAAAAAAGAAGAAGAAGAATGATGTAGTTGCGTATTTCTTACGATACTCTATCAAATTTGGAAAATTTATCCCTTGTAAAATCAAAGAATTTGTTACTTTGAAATTCAAATCACTTTTTTTCCCCATTGGATTGATTTTTAAGTGCATTCTTTCTTGATAAGGGGCAAAATTATTTTACATATAAAATTTTTTTTAGGTATACTAAAGAACTTGCACTTGTATTTATCGGGTCTCTGTGAGTTCGGCCAAAGCAACATCGTTTACATCAGCTGTTTGACACTACTACAAAAATCGTTAAAGCTATAAAATTTATTCTATTTTGTTTTAGACAAATTCTTTAACATGAAAAGTGCTGGGAGCAACTTCTCCGTGCTCGGGAATTGTGTAAAATTTAGCCGTCTGTCTATGAACTCTAGAAATACATGTAATACGCACTGGAAAATGTTACATTGCGGAATAAATAAACAATGCACAACCGGATCCCATCACTTTTTAGAAGAGTAGGAATAATAAATAAACGTGTTTAAAAATTCAGAATTTATAGTGAAGCGCATATATATGAACTTATGATATTTTCGAGGGGCTGGACCCCTCATTCTAGCACGTTGCTGTGCAAATGTGCTCCTTACTACGGAAGCGTATTAGTGCCTATTGGACACTTTTTTATTTTTCATTTTCCACACTTTAATCTGTAAATTTTACACTTTAATCTGTAAATTTTACACTTTAATCTGTAGAATATACACTTTAATCTGTAAATTTTACATTTTAATCTTTAAATTTTACGCTTAAATCTGTAAAATTTACACTTTTAAGTGTGAAATTCATACGTTAATCTGCAAATTTTACACTTTATTCTGTAAATTTTACACTTTAAAGTGTAAATTTTACACTGTAATCTGTAAAATGTACATTTAATCTTGTTGTTTTAAGGCTGTTATGATGATGAATATTTGCAGTATAATATTCGTTATTCCTTTTTCTTGTCTAACATGTACGTATTCAAACAATTACAAAAAAGAATGTGAAATGCTCCCTCTTACAAGTCCGTAGACAGAGTTAGAATTTATAAATCTTATGTATATTAGACTGGCACAAGTGAATAATAAGGATTTATTGAAGATTTTCTGTGTGGATCTACTAGAAAAATATGTCCTCTAAATGAATTTTGCTGTTGGATTGTATGTAATTTATCCCATTTTGTGTAAATTGCGATGAAGAGTGGAAAATGACCCATTGTATGTGGGTAAGTTGAATTTCTCGTGAAATATTTTCTTAAGAAATAAAATTCAGACTTGCCCCAGCACTTTATGTATACACAAGAATACGTTTAATTGATGTATGTAACAAGTCGTTCACAATAATTTTGTTTTTCACTTGTGCCGATGCGATTTTTGTGCAACATTTAAGAAAATTTATAAATGTCCGTCACGTGATCAACACAATCATGTGACATCACAAAAATGCTTTTTTATAATACCTTATTCAACTCTCTTTACAACGTAACTGTGTATGTGTACATAGATTATAAATTGAAATCAAAACATAGCTCAAAATAAAATAGTACGCAGCACTGTTAATGATTGATTGATTGTATATTGTTTTACGTCCCATTCGAGAATTTTCACTCATATAGAGACGTCACCATATACCGGTGAAAGGCTTCAAATTTTGACCTTTACTCGGCACTCAGGACCATTGAGCAGTGAGGGATCTTTATCGTGCCAACGTCTGCCGTGACACGGGGCCTCGGTTTTTAAGGTCTCATCCGAAGGACCCGCAACTTTCACTTCAAAGTGCCGAGCGCATGGCGAAGGAACAGTTGCTACCCATTTTTTTATCGACTTAGGTCTGTTGCGGCCGAAATTCGAACTCACAACCTCCCGATCACGGAGCGAGCGCTCTACAGACTGAGCTACCGTGAACGGTTTGCAGCACTGTTAAGGCGTAATTCGAAGAAATCGACAGAATATATACGTGCATAAATACATACCTTTTTAGTCTGAATTTATTTTTGTAAAGGTACTATATTATCTTATGACTTTAACATTCTTTGAAATAACATTGTATACCCCGCTCTGTACTGAATTTGGTTTGGTCACGTTAATTGATAGTCACGTGATAAATGCATGCAATGTGTACTGTATGTAGGTCACAAACAAATTTCAATATCGCAAGGGCATACCCTAGTTAAAATTAAAAATTAAAGTAATAGATTGTTTCAACATAACTTGTAGTTTATGGAAAGTGCTGCTGCCTTAAATAGAATTCGCATTTTATTAGCTTAAATTTCAAATTATCTGGCTAATGTGATCTTTACCAAGTATTTTATGTATTTATTAAATTATGCTATCGATTTCAGGAAAGCAGCAGCACTTTTCAAGTTAAGGAATACGTCCGTTATGTGTATTCAAAAAATGGTCAAGATCTATTAAGTGTATGCCCTTGCGAAAAGGCGATTTAATGAGGCACCTCGGCGTGAAACAGGCACACCCGGTAGATGTTCAATACATTCTCTCGATATTTTTTAAATAATGGCACTAAACAAACGTTTCAGATTTGTATTAATGGTCTACCCAAGATTTGCAAATAATATTCTGTTTAATAATAAAATGCATTTTTCACTGTGAAAAAATTACTTGATCCGCCTCTCACTGCACATAAAATGCGTCAAACTTTATCATGATGACGTCATGTCGACAAGTGCATTGCGATCAGTGACTTGTTTATATCTTGCTGTGTGTGATTTAACTAGCGACAAAAATGAATGCAGTGGTAAGTTTTGATGTAGTTCATTACTTTCATGCAGCTTAGATTCGCAAATTATTTCATTTTCTGTTATTGTGAGGAATTGCTATATTTGTGTGATGTCACAGTAAACTTTTCCCGTATAAATTAAGCCCCGCCCCCTTTATGCAGTTTTAACAGAGCTGCGTATATGTCTAATGCATATTAAGCCTTCAAACAGCCTTAACATAGCTGCGTACTGTATACTTCGTGTACCACTGATTGGTGCGAGAGTAATAATTGAATTTCAACTTAGAGCGCCGGTACGGGTAATTATAAAATTTGGGCCATGTATGAAATGTAGATGATGAACTCAGGAAATAAGGAAGATAAGATATTTTTGTTATTGAGACACTAGTCATATTCCTATAGCTTCGAACGAATTGACCAGTTCTACTTTCATCTTCTTGATCAAAGTCTAGAGAGTGTTTCAAAACAAGTTATTAAGGCTTTTAGAATTTTAGAACTTGAATTGATAGCTGTTACAAAAATAAAATAGGGTTTAAAAATATGATATTTTAAATATTTGGAAAAAAATTCTAAAACCTCAAAAAGTGTTTTCATTATTTAAAATTTGAGTGTACACAGTTCTAAATTTTTAAAATCAAAAATGTTTTTTTTTAGAATGGAAAGTTACATATTTGAGGTAAATTTTGAAATGCCTAAAAAAAGAATATTTTCAAAGCAAAATAGAAGAGATATAATAGTATTATTCTAGGTTAAAATTAAAAATTAAATTGCTTATAAAGGAAATACAGCTCTTACCTGTACATTTGTTCTGTGAAGAATCCCACTCTTTGCACACCTCATCACGGATTGAAAATGGAAGGCTACTAATTTTAAGGAAAATATTTCTTGTATGTATTATTTACGCATTACAATAGATAGAGTGAAAGAAAGGGAAAGATCGATGCATTGAGAGAGAGAGAGAGAGAGAAAGAGAGAGAGAATTGAGATTAAATACCTTGTAAATGTTTCCTCTGACAAGCAAAGTATAAACACACATGGTGAACACACCAGAGGAAAAAATAAAACTTCACAACCTCCAGCCATTAGCATGTTATTTCAAACAATATAATTCAAGTATGATGCAGACTACAAATTATTGAATAAGGGAAGGTCATTTATTTCCTGTCAGATAATGTTTCGTGATAACAAGATCTTCGTTGCATTTTTTGAACTTATAAGTGGGAGAGCTCAGGAGATTTTAATCCTTGCCAGATGTGTAAATATAATGATAACTAAAAATTTCCATATACTATAAACTTTAAGGCTTCTTCATGAACCCTTTTTCATAACACATAAAATGTTTTATACTGACAAGTAACAAAACTTAAATGATATAGTCACGTATTTCTTAAGATACTCAATCGAATTTGCAACATTTATCCCTTGTAAATCAAAGTCTTTGTAACTTTGAAATTCAAATCGCTGTTTTTTTTTTTTTTCCATAGCATTGGTTTTTAGTGCCGCTTTTTCTTGATATGGGGCAAAATTAAGTTACATTTAAATGAGGTTAAGTATACTAAAGAAAGTTGCTTAACTTAGAGTTATCACACTTGCCTTGCCCTCTATTTTTATATGAGTGCTTACCCAATATTCAGGGAAATGCAACTGATTCGTGGAAGTGAGAAACTTCTGTTTGTCTTCAAATGGAAATCCTGCAGTCGAAACTTGTGGTCTTTGTCATAAAGATTTTGTTTCTCA